ATCGTTTCGTTCCTCCGTCTGTTCGTCCGTCTGTTCCGTCCGGTCTGTTCGTACGGTTGTTCGTGTTTCGTCGCGTCTGTTGTCCGTCTGTTCGTCCACGTGTATCCGTCTGTTCGTCGTCTTGTTGTCGTTGTTGTTCCGGTCTGTTTCGTCCGTCTGTCGTCACGTCTGTTCGTCCGTCTGTTCGTCGTCTGTTCGTCTGTCTGTTTCGTCCGTCTGTTCGTCGTGCTGTTCGTCACGTCTGTTTCGTCTCGTCCTACTGTTCGTCCGTCTGTTTCGTCCGTCTGTTCGTCCGTCTGTTCGTCGCTCTGCTCGTCCAGTCTGTTTCGTCCGTCTGTTCGTCCGTCTGTTCGTCCGTCTGTTCTCCCGTCTGTTCGTCCGTCTGTTCGACCGTCTGTTCGTTCGTCTGTTCGTCCGTCTGTTCGTCCGTCTGTTGTCGTCTTCGTCTGTGTTCGTCCGTCTGTTTCGTCCGGTCTGTTCGTCCGTCTGTTCGTCCGTCTGTTCGTCGTTCGTCGGTCTTCGTCCGTCTGTTCGTTCGTCTGTTCGTTGTGTCCTGTTCGTTCGTTCTGTTCGTTCGTCTGTTCGTTCGTCTGTTCGTTCGTCTGTTCGTTCTGTGTGTGTCGTTCGTCTCGTTCGTTCAGTCTGTTTTCGTCCGGTCTGTTTCGTTCCGTCTCCGTCTGTTTGTTCATCTCTTCGCCTTATCTATCATGTCTGTTCTGTTCTGTTTGGTTCTTCTTCTTCGCCTATCTATCTGTCTGTGTGTCTGGTTTGTTCATCTCTTCGCCTATTCTAATCCTGTCTGTCTGCTGTCTTATGTTCATACTTCTTCGCCATATCTATACTAGTCTGTCTGGTCTGTTTAGCTTACATCTTCTTCGCCTATCTAGTCTGCATCCAGATTTTCTTCCGTAATGTTCGCCCTTCCGTCCGTCAGAGGCTGCTTGCTCGGTTCAGCTACAACTGTAGGTCAAGCTAAAATACAACATAAGCTCATGCTTGTACTAATATACGTTTTCTCTTAGTGAAGTCGTGGAGAAAACGAGAGCCGCCCTTTTTGTGGCTCATTGTCTTGGCATGTGGAGACGTGTTTCCGCCGAACTGTTCGCGGGAAATGTGGGCGGTCTTGCCTGGCGTGATCCGAGGCCCTCCCACTAGCGTAGAAGGCTATGGAATTGCGAAGACATTATCGCCGTCACATATGCCTGCCTTTGTGCTGCTCGTACCAATCAGACGATAATGAGGGAGTGAATCGTCTTTCGAAGTCGTATTCCTTGATGGAACTCCTGCTCCGCTTACAGGCAGCAATTGGAGGGGACGGCGGAATCTCAAAGCCGTAAGCCGAGGCTTCAGGTATTTTCCAAGATTTTTTCAATTATCTAAAGTCAAAAACAGTTTAAACATTGTTTGTGATATGTGCGGGAGAAGTAGAATATGTGCACATGTACTTGGGCTTCGGAATTCCTAACATCTTTTGTACAATACTATGTTGGAAAGTGAAAAAGGGAGCAACGATCATTTTGGCGAAATTTTTAATAGCAAAAATTATTTGCCTCGTTGCAATATAAACTATATGTATTTTCAAATAAAATGAAGGCTTCGGTTTTTATTCCTTGTGTGTCATGCGTGAAGGAATCGACTATAGTGAGAATATTAATAATGATCATTTGATGACACTGCTGGAGAAATAATTAAGTTTTCCACCAACTCCTTAAAGAGCTCAACGAAACATTAAGCTATCTTTGTATTTAAAAAAAACTAAAGGTTTTCGTTTATTAAGAAATTTGGGCTTTCTATTCGACCAAATTTCGTGATTTTTGCTTTAAATGAAAGGTAATGGCCCCAGATACGTTATCGCTAGCCATTATTAACCGATTTATAATATATTCATTAAATTTTAATAAAATTGTACAATTAATAGAATGGACTCTTATAAAATGAAGATACATTTATTTAAACTGCAAATGGGTATAAACCGGTGGCAGCTAATTACATAAATAAGATAATATAGCTAACATGCAATTTATATAATAATAATAGTAATAATAATAATAGTAATAATAATAATAGTAATAATAATAATAGTAATAATAATAATAGTAATAATAAAAATAATAATTAAAATAATAATTAAAAGATTAATAATCTTAAAACTGGCTCATGCATAAAACATTAAATTGCCTTAAGAAAAAGAAACTTCTGTAATCTAACTCCGCACTGAATGTTTGTTCAATTAAATCCACACTGCACTGGCACTGCACTTCACTTCACTTCACCTTCCTATGACCTTTTAATCACTTCCTTATTACATATCTGCGTCATTTGTTCCATAAATCGTTTTTTTTGTATGTATTCGAAGATTGCGAGTTTTAAATGCAAATGTTAGAGAGTGAATGACAATGTCCATCAAGCGTTTCTGGACATTGTTTCTGATCGCGTCTCGTAACAACTAAATCCTCTGATGCATTACGTTTTTGAATTAAGGTGGTTAGGAGGATTTCCTGCATCCAGTTCTTGGTAAATATAAAATATTTCAATTACATTTTCAGAAACATGTTTAACTTGGTGTTATCAGTAAATATTGATTATAGTATTGTTCAAACATTTGTTGCTCTCTCCCGTTTCAGTGGTCTAGAAGGGTAACTATTGAAGTGATAAAGGTGACAATTTATTTTGGGAATAGGGAATGATGCGACACGAGGCCGATAGGTCGATTGGTGCGATCCTGTGAACAAAATAAATTAACTTTTACCAGGTGAGTCATAGACAATTTTTTTAGACAGCCTTGCTGACATTCATGTTATTACGTTTTCACCTATCACAGTATAGATGAAGTATTGTAATGCAGCAGGAAAGAAACGGATAATTTTTTAAAGAAACATTCTTATTCCCGGACTCTGGTAACCAAAAAGTGAATTAATCTTATTTCACTAATGATTCAGATGATGCAGTAAATTACATCATCTAACACGCTGTGTTAGAATCCACTTTTAGCGAGTCCTTGATTCCGAAAAATCGATTGTCGGCAAAACATCTTGTTTATCTCTTCAATGCTAGCGACTAAACTAGGGATTCCCAACGAGGACCCCCTGGGGGTCGAAGAAATTTTAAACGGGGTCAGTGACGATCAAAGGGCCGGTTGAAGGTCAATAGCCGATTATGAATCGGCACCTGATCAATATAATCAAGATCCCATTGATTACAAAAACATAATGAAATTGTTTTTTGATATAAAGGGAAAAAATACCAATAAATGACAAATTCGCTTGTCTACTTTCGTAGCCATCATTCATCCACAGAAGTTAGGATATTATAACTCAAGACGTTATATTACAATGATATTCCATCGCATGAGAAAGTCCTCTCTGCTATACGTACCGGAAAACTGTTACGGCCAGTTCTTAAAACATTTCGTAATTATTCCATTAGAATTAAGATTATAGACTCAACTACTCAATATGCGGAAGCGTCTTCGATTATTGAAAATCGAAATATTTTCGAGAATATTGGTGCACAAAATTGTTATCTTTAAGACATTATGTGAAATTTTTTGTGTCTTGTTTATGGATGCTGTAGAGATTATAGAGAAAACATAAGGGGGTCGATGAAGCAAGTCATTCTCTTCAAGGGGATCGATGAAAGAGAGAGGTTGTGAATCCGTGGATTAGGGTAAACGATGCCCTTCTCTCTACTAACACAAATTACGAGAGTCGCGGTTTACCCGGTTTTCGAACCCATAGCATCCACGTGTGCTCTCACGGATGTAAAGAAAATCTGGAGCCGTTTTTGAGAAAATTGTGAAAATGACCCATCGAATGAATTTTGCAACAATTGGAAAACTTATAGTAGAGTTGTAGTATGTCTTATTAATTTATTTCTCTAATTAAGAATGTTAGGAAAAATGGCTATTTTATAGAAATATTATGTACGTGAGTTGGGGCAGAAGTCATGGAAACTATTTTTTTCTAAAAATGAATGATATGTCATCACACAATTTTATTTAATTTCTTGCGTGAAAGAAATACTGTACTAATGTTCAGAACGACAGATGGTTCTGTGACTCAGCGCAGAGAGCAAAGTGAAATCAGTTGTCTGACTGCTTTGATGTATTGGTGGAGCGTTGCTTTCCGTCATATCCGGATGGCAGCCAGGTGGTCCGTTGGATATATCCGAGGGGGGTTCGGATTAGTAGGACTTGCCGGAAAGATGCAAGTCCCCGCTTTAGAGCATGTCTTATCCCTCGTGGTATCATCATATTATTATTTTTATATCGTGTTATGTACACTTCCCTTTTTCGGATGAAGTACTATCCATCATTGATCCCCAGAAGTTAGGATATTATAACTCAAGACATTATATTACAATGATATTCCATCGCATGCGAAAGTACTCTGCTATAAGTACGGGAAAAACGGTTATGGCCAGTTCTTAAAACATTTCGTAATTATTCCATTAGAATTAAGATTATAGACTCAACGACTCAATATGTGGAAGCGCCTTCGATTATCAATCGCGGCAAACATGGTGTCATTTGAAAGTTGGAAGTCGCTGATGTCTGCAAGTGTAGTTTAATTTTTTGTGAATATTATATACATGATTATATAATGATGATTTTTTTTAAATGTCGACATCGCGCACATCCTGGCGGTAAGGCGGCACACGGCGAGGAGCGTGGTGGGTTTTGAGCAGGGCAGGGCGGACTGGGGCAGAGCAGGCCATGCCAGGCCGGGCGAGGGAGAGAAAACACGACAGCCATAATGCATTCCTTTTCCCGTATGAATAGATGAGCAAGGTACATAAATATCCAAACAAGTAAAAAGATTGGGCTTTAAACTTTCCGGATGTTAAAGGATTTAATCTCGCGGGTTTCCACCAACGAAAGCGATTGTGTCGCGTCGCGCCCTGCCGCCCGGGAGCGCGAGCAGCGGTTGCGGCGGTGGCCCGCAACGGGAGTGCTCCGAAACGTCCGTAACGCCGCGCGGGGGCGTGTTTGCTGCTTTCAGAGCGCGCGCGAGCCTAGCCCGACCGATGGACGCGGACGCGGACACGGACGCCGAGGCGCAATCCGACGCGTCGTCGGGGTCCGGCGTGCCCGAGCCCCGGGACACGCGCGGGGCCAGCGTGATGCCGCTCAAGGCGGCCTACCAAAAGGTGGAGTCGGACTTCAACAAACTGCAGAAGGCGCAAGTGGAGCGCGAGCTCAAGGTGAGCCGGAAGCTGGAGGAGCTCGCCAAGGGCATGAGGAAGCAGATGGAGGAGAAGACGACGGAAGCGCTGACGGACATGACGGGCAAAGTGCAGGGGCTGGAGCAGCGCCTGGGCCGCATCGAGGCGGCGCTGGGCATCTCGCCCAACGGCATGGGCGGCGGGATGATGGGGATGGGCATGGGCGGGATGGGCATGGGCGGCTTCGGCATGGGCATGGGGATGAACGGGCGCGGGCCCGGCGCCGCCGCCGCCGTCATCTCCGCCGTGCAGACGGGCAACCTGGAGCAGCTGCGCGCCATGCTGGCCCAGGGCGCCGACCCCAACGCCCGCGACGCCACGGGCAGCACGGCGCTGCACTGGGCCGCGCAGATGAACAACGAGATGATGGTGCGCCTGCTGCTGTCGGCCGGCGCGTGCAAGAACGCCACCGACGCCCAGGGCCGCATGCCCTTCCACCTGGCCACCTCCAACCCGGTGCGCGGCCTGCTCTGCTGCTGAGCGCGCTCGCTCCGCCTTCCGCCTCGAGGCGCCGCCTTGTTCTGTTGCCGGGCTCCGCCGCGTCTGCTCGTTGTTTGCCGGGAGTCTACAAGTCTACACCAGTGCGCTGTTACTTCAAGACACCGTTCGGCGCAGGCTGCAAGTTTGAACATTTTGCGTCCCGTTCCACCTGGCTTGCTTTGATGCTGGTGGCTCCGCTTGGCCCACGTGTGTGCACGGCTATAAATCCAGCTGTCTGATGTGCTGTCTCGTCTAACTGAGCTCTCCAAGTGTAAGACCGAATTTGCCTCTGATCCCTGCGCTTCGACCTACCGTCCTGCTTTACTACTGAGCGCCCCATGCCACCTCTCCTCGATGTTCGCCGTGTGTTTGGGCGTCTCACCTCTTGTATACATCGCCCTGCTCTGCCCAAGTACCCCACGAAACTGTGTGCGTGTCCGACGCTGCCCGCGAGTTTGCATAATTTATTCTCCCTGGACCGCGGCCCGTTCTGTTCCTGAGCGCCCAACGACATCGCTCTGATCGACCAACGTCGCCGCGAGTTTGCGTTTCTTCGCTCTCTGCCCCTCCTGATGCCCGGCCTGCCCTGTTACCGAGCGCTTCATGACACCGCTCTTCATGACCGACGTCGGCCGCGAGTTTGCGCTATTCCGCGCACTGTTCTACCCCATGCCCAATGATATTCCCGAACACCTGACGTAGCTCCGCAGGGGCCGAAGCAGGAAGCGAGTTAGCACGACTCCGCGCTTAATTCCACCAAGCGCCGCTTGACGTCTCTCCGCGCAGCCGACTCGATCTGCGAGTTTGCGCATCTCCGCTCTCCCTGAATGCTGGTCGGCGCTCGCCGCGAGTTTGCGCTTCTCCACGCCGTGTGCTGCCGAACCACTGCGCACGCGAACATTACGACCGATTGGTCTTCTATGTGACATCTGTTATTGAACTGTTCTGTGTTTCTCCTTTAAGGATTGGCATACACCAAGAAATGAATAAAATTAGTTGAAGGGATTTGTGCCGAAGTTTTTGTTATTAAGTAGTAAATAGATTTTGAACGTTTTCAAACTTCACCGCTTTGATCAAGGCGATCACCGCTTTGATCAAGGCGATCAGCCGTGATACGTTCTCTCTTCATTGTGATCTTTGTGTTGGTGAAGAATCAACGTTCAGTTTACGCAGGGTAATATTCGTTCTATTCTGTTCTAAGAAACTGGACAAAGAACAAACGTGAGGGTTTATTGTAAAAGAGCTTCATTGCAAGGCTGTCGTATTGGCGATTTTAAATGCTGTTTTGTATTGGAAAGGACATATTTTGGGGACACTCAACTGTTATTCGATGGAGTAGGGTTGTGCGGTGAGATTTCAGTGTTTCTACTCATGTTGCGTTAGAAGAATATTTGAGAGTGTTGGATATCATTGTAATATGTGTCAGATACAGAAATGATTTTCTAATAGGCTACCGAATGCTTAAATCATAAGTGTAAACGAATGTAGGTAATGTCAAAGATTCAACGATTTGTAGGAAGGTCCAAGAGTTCCTCTTTTCTATCTTATTTGCCTCTAATTCAAGTTTGTCATATTTAAAACAGCTTATACGTTTATTCAGGTTTCTGTAGTGACCTTGCTCAATCGTTAGTTATGGGGTTTTCGCTAGGTACAACCAAATCATATATCTTAATTGTTCGGTGACAAAAAAGATGTACAAATAGTCGAGTTCATTTAAAATATAGTAGAAATGTGTATTAATGCAAAAGTAAGATTAGGAAAAGTAATAAACCGGAGAATACCCCACAGCTCTCTCATTTTCTTGTGCGTGCGACCTGTGGCAAATTAAAGACAGTAGACAGGTGTCGTCATTTTTTGTGGTTTGTGGCGAAGAAAATCGCACTTTCTTGAGCATATTTTCCACAATCGGGATTCAAAAAGGAAGGACGATCATCTTCGAGAACTTTGAGAGTAATGTTGCGCAATTTCCTTTTCATACTGCTTTCTGCTATATTTAGACAATCTCTTTAAGCCTGTATGCCTACTGAAGCTAGCAACATTCATTTTATTTTCCGCACATGAGTGCGTATTAACTTTTTTATATGTTCAAACTTAAGATCTTGCTTAACAGTAAACAGAAAAATGTGTATGAACACGGAATTCTTTATGGCAGGTCTGTCATTACCCCTTATCCTTTATCAATCGCCGCCGCATCCGTCCAGTAATATAGAAAAAATATTTAAAATTTAAAAAAAATAGTTTATTACTTGTGGATTGGCTTCAATGCACCGTAGTTGAATATTCCAGGTTATACTAAAGGTTCTTTACGATCTCTAAATTAATATAAATATATTTCGCGAAGAAAAACTAGATGAGCTACAATAACATACCTTCTCTTATTATTAAAAATATTTAGGTAATTATGAAATATTGTAATTTTTGCACACTAAAAACTGTTGTAATTTGAGAAAGTCCAATTGTCCTTGCCAGAGAAAGTAGAAACTTTTAACTTTTACCCATAAAACAAACATGAATAAATTTAACTATTACAGTATTTGCATTACACACAGATAAGAAAAAAGAAAAAATTGCTTCAAATTTGCCATGCCCAGATCGAAGTGAGCTAACAATTTCTGTTTAACGTAAATTACCAATCAAAACTTCTTAAAGTAAAAGTCATAAATATTTTAATTTTACGTTAAATATATTACCTTCCTTAAATCTATTTTCTTTCGTAAGCGTGTTATCTACATCGTGAGATCCAAGAGGATAGCTTGGTTTGGGTATCTAGAAAGAATGGATGCTAACAGAGGTACTAAACAAATCACGAATCGGAAGCTTTAGCAACTCGAAAACAAAGGAAGGCCGAGAATCAGATGGGAATCTCTTCATGATCTAAAATGGACTTGAAGAACTGGAAGAAACATGCAAGAGAGAAAAGGAGTGGAGTAAAATACTTGAGCAGGCCAATAGCCACATCGGATTGTAGCGCCAAATAAAGAACAACAATATTAGGGTTAAAACCAACTTCCTTCAAATTGAATTGCTATCATACTTATCATACCCCGCATCATTAGTAGCTTCCAAGAATTATCTGCGAGTGAATGTGTTCTCCGAACACGGCCGGATGCGAAACGTCGGAATAAGACGAATAATCTACTAGACGCTTTTTTGAAAACTCTAAAGAAAGCTCTTTAATAAATGAAGCAATAGTTGAAAGATTTTTAACAATCGTTTTGATATTTTTTATTTCTTGTCGGTACGCCTTGACCAATCTTCTTCTCCGGCATGGGATCTTCTGGAAAGGAAATTAAAGTACTTGAACAAAGATATGTAGTCTCTTTTATCTGAGAACGTTACGACAAATAACTACTACAGAGCGCATTCCCTTTCTGAATACCCGAACTGACGAGTATGAAATTTGTCGTGCTAAGAGTATACTTGTGTGGTATTATTTACATGCATTTTACTGGAACATTATTTGTTATACAGTAATTCACATTCGTTCTTTAAAGAAACGCATACCGATTAAATTGAAGGATCTGTAACGGATGTTCACCGAAAATATGTTATGTCATATTACAAAATTCGGCATAATATTTTTCTTGAACCATGTTCGTAACTTCATTATATTGTAATTTGTCCCGTGATAATTTTGGTGATCGTAGAAACGTTTCCAGAGGTTTTGGCCTGGGCCGTCACCAAAATACACTATTGGCGCGTACTGGCTACGTTTTAGTTCCTAGTCATCTACACTATTAATAGGTGTCCATTTTATTTCATTATTAATAGGTGTGTACACAAAATCAGAATATTTATTCGTCATCGACCAAGAACTTATACGTCTATACAGAATGAATAGCAACGCTTAAAGGAATATGCGACTTCTCTTCACCAGTGTGTATTCTTCCTCAGCAAGACCGTCACCAGATTTTTTGGGAGATTGGGGACTGGATCGATCTAGAGTAATAAATATTATGCAATTTGCAATATAAACAAAGACATTTAATTGTATCCCTTCCACCATAAATAACTATTTTTCATTCGTCGTTCAATAGAACGAAGTTCAGAAAAAGAAAAAAAATGTTTTTAGCAAATTAGCAGCCAATTTATTTGGGAGGGAAACGTTGAACCTCCTGACCCTTTCGAATGCGTCCTTCGTCGGCCAGCAATACTAAAGTCACCTCTCCTTTCTGTATTGCATCGGGTCTCCTAGGTGTTCCTAAGGATCCGCTTATGCTGCAGGTGTTTTATCAACACTAGTTGTACTATAGCTAGGTCTAAATCAACCTCTGCCTGCAGAATAATTCTAGCGCCCGACTGCTTTGCCCTAAGTCCCGGAGTCAGCAAGAAAACAACACGTATGATAAGCTTAAAGCCAAACCTTTTTGAGACGTTAGCCAGTGTTACGGGGTACAGGGAAACGTGGTATGGCGACCGTTGCGCTGTACAATTTTTTGAATGTGTCGAAAAATACTATGTCAAGGAGGAATATGTACACAGCTAAACCTGGTTGTATTGTTCGTTAGATAGCCAGGGAGTGAACACCATACCTATGTGGCGTCTGAAACTGTGCGTCATATTGAACTCAGTGTTATTTTTTAATGCCCTCTTGTTTGACGAGCTTAAAGCAAATTTTTTGGTCTCATGGTAGGAAAGTCTTTTTCACTGCCGATTATGATCGCACCATTCCGTTTCCGACGTATCGGTGTTTTCTTCGGTTTCTCTTATCAATACCAGGCATATATCTGAGCAGTATCTTAGTAAACGTACCGCTCGCGATGTTTCCTTCCTCATCCTTATCCTCGCCTCTTCCCATTTTACTCACACAATTGCACTACTTTACTACTACGTAGTTCGAGAGTCCCGTGTGGTCCTTAAAAGTTGTTCTGACTGGAGCGGTGCCTAGCTGGAGGAGAATCCTGGAGGCGGGAAAATTTCGTAAGCCGTAAATTTCGTAAGAGTATGACGACGCCGAATTTTTGCCGGTGGGGGAGGAACCCCGCCACCTCCTGTGTACAGATCACGCACGACACTTTCGGGACTAACGAGCATAGTTATTGACGCACCAGAAAATACTAAATAATCGCCTCAAATCTGCGTGCCAGCTGCGGAAATCGGATCTTATGCACTAGTGGTGGCGAAATCATGCATGCCGCCTCCCGAGGAATAAAGTGCACTACCCCGTCGGGACGTTTGAGCGTAGTTGCTGACACGCCGGGAAATTCAATCTTCGGGTGGCAGCTTCGAAATCGAGATGGCTACATCTGCACCACGTGTCTCGGGGGCGACGGGCTTGGTTGCAGGGCGGGCGCGGGGAGGCTCCGCCATGGACGACCACGAGGACGACGACGCCGACGGCGACCTGCCCACCGCCTCCGTCTCGGAGTCGCACACCGCCAGCCTGATGCCGCTGCAGAGCGCCTTCCTGCACATGGGCGCCGACCTGGACCGGCTGGAGAAGGCGTCGGTGGCGCGCGAGAAGCGAGCCAAGCAGCGAATCGCCGACAGCGTCAAGGCGGTCG